AGGATGGAAAAATAGCAAATGCTTGTCGTAATTTGTCCTGAAAATATGAATCTGTCATCACGAGCAGATTTGAGATATGCTTTTTTTGATATCTTCACCACTTTTTTGACACCCTCTGACGGCTCATCTGGATTTGGTGTTAGGATGGAAAAATAGCAAATGCTTGTTATAACTTGTCCTGAAAATATAAACCAGTCAGCACGAGCAGATTTTGAGATATGATTTTTTTGATATCTTCACCCGTATTTTGACACCCTCTGACGGCCCATCGGGATTTGGTGTTAGGATGGAAAAATAGCAAATGCTTGCTATAACTTTTCCTGAAAATATGAATTTGTCAGCACGAGCAGATTTTGAGATATGATTTTTTTGATATCTTCACCCCTTTTTTGACACCCTCTGACGGCCCATCTGGATTTGGTGTTGGGATGGAAAAATAGCAAATGCTTGTTTCAACTTGTCCTGAAAATATGAATCTGTCAGCACGAGCAGATTTTGAGACATGATTTTTTTGATATCTTCACCCCTTTTTTGACACCCTCTGACGGCCCATCGGGATCTGATGTTAGGGTGAACAAATAGCAAATGCTTGTCGTAATTTGTCTTGAAAATATGAATCTGTCAGCACGAGCAGATTTTGAGATACGATTCTTTTGATATCTTCACCCCTATTTTGACATCCTCCGACGGCCTATCGGGATCTGGTGTTGAGGCAAAAAAATAGCAAATGCTCGTCATAATTTGTCCTGAAAATATGAATCAGTCAGCACGAGCAGATTTCGATATATGATTTTTTTTATATCTTCTCCCCAATTTTGACACCTTCTGACGGCCTATCGGGATCTGGTGTTAAGGTAGAAAAATAGCAAATGTTTGTCATAATTTGTCCTAAAAATATAAAGCTGTCAGCCCGAGCATATTTTGGGATATAATTTTTTTGATATCTTCAACCCTATTTTGACACCCTCTGACGGCCTATCGGGATCTGGTGTTAGGGTGAAAAAATAGCAAATACTTGTAACAATTTGTTCTGAAAATATGAATCTGTCAGTACGAGCAGATTCTAGGATACGATATTTTCTTATATTTCCGACGCCACTGGCCGTTGGGCAGTTTCCAGAAGTTTTGGAGGCTATCTTTAGAGGCTAATTTCACACCGGTTATTCTGCTTTCTTATGAAACTGTTGATAACAAAACTACCTTTCTAATGCAGATGTTTCGCTTTCTATTTCAACTTACAGAAAACAAATGTCTGGGCACTCAAGATGCTATAAAATAAAGCGAAAAGTCCGCACGAAAAAGGCTCTAAATCCCGTCAACTTCGCCGACCATTACTTATTATTAGTCATTTATATTTCTAGAAACTAGCGTCAATTTGCAACGTTCCTTTATTCGAGGTGATCCATTACAAGCCAGTCTACAAGCAATTTTAGTTTAAACGGGATTTATAGTCCAGGACTTTGGACGATGTGGTTTTGTTCCATTGGTCTTTTAGGACAAAATAAAAATTACCTGCTATGAATTACTATAGCCTTGCGCAAATTTTGAATTGTTGATCTAAAAAGCAATATTTAAAAAACATTCAGCTCAGAACGGAACAATTCAGCGAATTCACGAACTTGACAATTTCAAATCATCAACGTAATATCAAGAAGAGGTGCATAAAACCAAATACAAGTTAATTCAATTTAAAACTGATAATAATTCAATTAATTAACGAAAAAAAAATACATGCAATACATAGATTTAGAGTAGATTTATTAATAAATATTAGTTATTGGCTCATAATAATTGTTAACAGTGAATACAAATAGTCTGAATTTAAAAAACAAACAAAAAAAAACGCAAATCAATATGTATCTGCTACTAATGCATTGGTCAATTATTGATAATAAGTAAATTATTTAATTGTGGTCCCAATGGATAATTGAATAACTTTGAAAAGGATGTTGGATAGTTACGCGAGGAAGAGGAATTACCGATTCCGTAATCGCAATGTGAGTTTGGAGTTTGCTGCAGTAATTTTTGAAAGTAGAGAGCAGCACGTTGATTTTCGGAAATCACGGCAACAGAGAGATTCACAAGACCGAGCAAAGATTAAGGATTGGTTTAACGAGCATCCCCTTTTTCCAAAATTAAATTCGCTGATGTCTCTGTCCACAGGTATTCTGGAAAATTCGAAAATTATTTGTCACCAAGCTCTGGATATTGGAACCAAAATCAGGCATAGTTTTATTAGCGGCAACTTTGGTGATATGAAGCAGTCTAGGAAAAATGTGGTTTTATCACTAGCAAATATGAGCAGTACCATTAAAATGAATGGCGAGACAGTTACCATTAACCCTCTGACGGTTTTTCAAAGAACTCTTATAGCAAAGAAGAGTAATGAAGATGTAGCAGATCTTTTGACATATGAACTTGTTACCCATCAAACCGATTGAAAAGTAAATAATAAAATTTGAGGAAGTGAGACAGTGAATGGGTAACTAAAACAAAAAAATAGAAAGAGAGGGTTGGTCGGTGGCTAAAATCTAGAAACGGGACTTCGTGTGAATGGTTGCCGACTAGCTTCCAATGCGGAGTGGGGTGTGGATCAATTAAATAATTAAATATAGAGCGCCACCTGCTTTTCCCTGCAGTACACGAAGTCAACCGATATAACGAAAGCAGGAAACTTCTACGGACCTATTGCAGCACAACCTGAAATATAAAAGTAAACAAGAAGGAAGGGCAGAAGTGGAACGCTTTGCTACAATCAGGTACGGATTTTTAATTAGAACCAGAACAGGTTTGACTTTAGAGCAGGTTCGGAGTTGGTTTTCCGAACGCCCTGGAGCACTGAAAATTATTAACACTGGAACCAGAACAAGAACAAAATAAATCGACTAGGAGTACCTAACCTTACGTTCTAAAAATAGTATTTACAATTATTACACTCAACTTGAGTCTCTAAATAAAGTAAAGAGTATTGTATAACACTTATAACAGCAATAATACCTGAAATGTAAATCAATAGACAAGCTTACTAAATGCAGTATCTTCGTAAATGGCCATTTAACCCCAGTGTACAAGTATTTTCCAGTATTCAGTGGATCATGTATTTATGGGATATTAGAGAGATATAGATCATTAATTATTAAAGTTGAAGTAACAATACGTAACCTGAGGGGCGAATTTAATATTATGGAATTATATAGGTAATATAGATAAATAATTAAAATTGAGGTAACAATACATAACCTGAAGGGCAAATTTAATATTGTAGAAGACTGCGTCGCTGTGGTGATTTATTCCAACAAGGGGTTGGTAAGGTTTGATAGGTTCCAGATATTAAGGCAATAAACACAACACAACACACTTATCAAACCCGAGTAGTCCCTAATCCCTTGAGGGAAACCTGAAGGATTGGATTGATATCTTCCAGCGTTTCCGGTGGCCTGGGACTGGATCAGGGTCGCGACAAGAAGCAACTGGCCCTGGGCAATGAAGTTTAGTAATTAGAAGTCACTAAAGCTTCAAATTATCTAGCGGAGGCTGAAGACAGGAGGTACGACTTGAAATATACAGTAAGCTTAACGTTTAGCTCTATACTCAAAGTTAAGGACTAAAGCGTGACGACTAAATAAGGCCTGAACCAAATGGACGTTATGAGATTGGGCGTGGAGCGATAGGTAGGTATGTCCAATATTCGGAATTTAACCATATAATTAACAGAAAACTATGCTTTCACATAGGAAATAGAGACACACAGAGAAGACTAATAAGAAAAACCACTTACCAAAATACTTTGGCCTTGAGGAACAAAAAATTGATCACGTTGCACTTTTTCGGCTCACAAAGAAATCCGCACAAGGCGATTTGGTGCTAAAATAACGGATTAGCCACCCTATATCTATGAGCGAAAACTGGACAACTCAGAAATCGGCAAAATGTGTCTGAGGAATTTTCCCGAACACTTAATCATGAAAAGTCCTCGACCTCAATGACCTCTGCTTGTCCCTTCAATATCCTTTAAAAAGGTTGTGTCAAAACTCCAAGGTGAAGGGTTCTGGGGAATTTTGATGGTAGTTGGGCATGGGACTATTTGAATTAAGTTGGTACCGGTACCTTATTCGGAGTCAATCAAGTCAATCTAATCGAATCAGACAATCAGCTGTTCTAATGTAAATATTGTAATTTGATTTATCAATAAATTAATTGTCTATTTATTTTAACCCTACTAAAAGGAAATCAATTCCATTATTCAACATCTAACTCGGTGATTCTGGGAAGAATGAAAAGTTTGAAGAAAAGTGTAGCCACATTTATTGGAAAGAATACAGTGGCTCGACGAAGGTATGCTGTTCAATGAGGCGAATACGCTTATTTCCTTTTATTTTGGCCCAGGAAAAATCATCCAGTAACAAACTAACTCCATTCCCCCTGGCTCTGTTCCGGAAGGCGGAATGAGGGGTACCTATTATTGAAACAAGGGAGCAGCGTTCTCAGGAGAACGTCCGTCTTGGTTACTTATATTTTCAGTTGCACCGAGTAATATATTTAGCACAATGGATGAAGCTAAATGAAGCAGTGGTTCTTCAGATAAAAGTGATGAAACTGTTATTGTTGATAGCAAAATGGTCTTGGTTGTTGGAAGTGGAGCCTCTATGGAATTTGCTGTTACAAGAGCTTTAGGAAAATTAAATACTTTCATTTACAGAAGATCCTATAGGAGAAAATATTGAATATACAATAAAAATTGAAGAAATTTATGGAAAAGATACCAGAGAAGAAGAAATTTCAGAACCCACCATTGAAACCCCTCCGAAAATTGTCGAACAAAAGTCTACTGAGAGTAGTAGCAGTATAGAAAATAACAGACTAAAACAACCGAGGCTGAAGCTCCAATAATGCATATCACTTATGAGCCATTTTTTTCAAAGACATCAACAAAATATAGATAGTGCGAGGATGAGTGGTATTGCTGTGAACTAAGAAACAAGACATGGGTTCTACATCATATGAACTCACGTGAAACCGAAGAAAGTGAATGCTATCAACCAGAAGAGGAAATAGCAGAGAAAATGTCTTTTGTGTTTCGAGAGCTTAAAATGAAAGCAAAAGTTCTCAATGGAGTTTTAGATGAACAAGACAATAATTTGCCAGCAGTGGAAACAGTAAGAGAAAGACTGTTATAAAATATAGGAAAAGGTTCCACAGCCCCAAATTATTAGGTTTATAGGTATCAGGTACAAATTTCTTTTTAGGTCAACCTAAATCGCTTTTGTACCTACGTGACGTAAATTTATGAATATTCTAAAACATGTATAAATTACATTACGGTCATTCATCAGTATAAGTGACATTTTCACATGCCCCCTATTAAACTTCTCAATGCAAAGCAACTTTAAGCGATAAGTAAACATGCAACCAAATTACAAACTTTGATGATAATGAAATTAATCTTGGATAGAAAAATTTGTGTATATAAAATATCTGGACAGATTCAAAAGTGTATAAGAAAACTTAACCCTATAAGATCATTTATCTAAACGACGAACTGTAAATACTAAATTTGAAGCAACACGTAACCTTAAGGGCCAATCCATTTGTAAATAATAATTACTTCGTCAAACTTCAGCAATAGTCTAATTAAGTTAATAAATTAGATTTACTTTCTAACTTTATATTATCGAAAACATTTAATCAAATTTGATTGGGTTTTATTTGTGTTTTATTAACGGATTTAAAAAAAAAAAAACAAGATTAATTGCTTGGGATTTTTACGGTGACTACATTCTTGTAGAACTTTTGAAAACACATAATTAGAATTTCGGTAATTGGTTATAAATCGTTAATGTATTACATTGGTGAAATGTTTTTTGCTTATAAAAGGTAGCCGCGTGCATATTATATTCAGCTCTTTTGCCCCGAGGCATTTCAAATTTTAATGATTTTATTCGGCAAACAAATTTTGAAATAATCTTTGACAAACTTGGATCACTTGGAACTTTGTACACCCTTTCTACCAATTGTCATTATTAATCATACTTTTTATTCTTTATACCACTGCAGACAATATCCGTGATTAGTATACTTTCCAAAAACATTATGCTTAGGTCGAAATCAATGTTTGCCCATCGTCTGACGACAATCGTCTGATAAATAATAAATGTCGACCTTATATCGTATCAACGTTGGATGCCAACTTAAAGTTAAATTTTTACTTAATATAACGTCGCAAGTAGTGAAAATCTGGTTGGAAGTCGAGAAAATGTTTCTGGAAGCAAGAAGAAAACGAATTTAATTTTTATACAAGGACAGCGAAGTTATTTACACGTGCATATCATAAAAATCAATTGAAACAAATCTGGTACATTGCATTAGAAGTAATTGCGATTCGTATTGAACACTCGGCAAATTTGGTAGGACGGAGCAGCAATTTTAGTTTATGAATGAATTATTCGGCTTTCCAATTTGAATTTGGAAATGCCTAATAGATGATTGCAAAAGTTTTGGCTCGTAAATTGTATGATTTGAGGCACTCGCAAAGTTACTGCGGGCTTGTTTTTATCGGTTTGAAGTGTTACAGTAAGAGTTTTTGGGTTTTTATTGGTGTGTGGATAAAATTCTGGTAACTGAAAGAAAATTATATCAAAAAAATAACCATCAGACTCACCATATGTGAGTCTTTTGGATTCAATCATGTCTATAATAGTTTCATCTACTTTCATCGATCGTCTTATCTCTTTATTTCTAATATGATCTAGTCTGGATGTTCAGCTGCTTCTTCTCCAGTAATCCATTTCCACAGCCAAGAGCTTTTCCCTGTTCCTTTTTGGTAATTCTAAGCCATACGTAGTTATAGTTCCAACAATATGGTATTTTATATTATTTTCTTGTCTTTTTTTGTTTAATAAGGAATAAGGTTGGGAAATAATTCTTCGCCCTTGAGCAACTTTAGAAAAAAGGGTTACACCAAGATATCCGAACGGAGCGCAGTTCTCCACCACACGATGTCCTAGTTCAAAGTCATCTGGTAATTCGTCGCCAACTGCCATAATATAGGTACTCCGTTTTCTTCATATTTATCGTAAGTCCCCAGTTTTCATATTCTTGTTGGAGTTTTCGCAGCATGTAACACGAATCATCTTTGTCTCAAACTATAACTACCTGGTTGTCAGCAAAAAAGAGAGTGGAAAGTATGTCCTCTCCTATTGGTATGCCGATACATTTCCTCTTCCAAGATTTTAGGGCCCTTTCAATATAAATTACAAAAAGCAGTGGAGCAAGGGAGCAGCCTTGCCTTAGACCCTTTGTTAATGGGAACTTTTCGGAAACTTGTCAATTTTGTTCGACTGAGCTATATATCATATTCACAATCTGTAGTCCAAAGGTATAGGTAAATTTATCACCTATCCCTATCAAATAGCATTGAAAGGTGAGAAATTTGACCTATACCTTTGGACTACAGATTGTGAATAGATAATATGTATTGGTATATAGAGCTTTGGTAGCATTTACATATGAGTTGCTTATCCAATTAAGACGCATTGCTGGTCACAACTTAGTGGCACCGTGTACTTTCTGTAAGTCCAGAAAGGTCAGGTGAACTTGTCTGTCTCTTTCTACTCTTTTTTCAATAAGACTTTTGAGAGTAAACACTCCATCTCTGCAAGAACGTCCTGCCCTGAAATCATTACGTTCCTCTAATGCTTGGAACTCGATTTCTATTCTGTTTTACAGAATACGTCCATATAATCTGGCTACTGAGCTTGGACGGTGATTCCTTTTTATTTTTTACAGTCCAATCTGTTCCCTTTCTTGAAGATCGATGAGATTCTTCCCTTCAGTCTAGTTGCGGACGTGGCGGTTGTCCTCCTCGGAGGCATTTGGGGAAGATCTTCGAAAGGATCTTTATCAGTTTTATTAGGGCGGCTTTTAACAGTTCAATATTTAGGTTGGGGTACCGCTGGGTGGATTGAGTAGCTCAGATGGTGCCACTGCCGGTCCCAAGCCCGGATAAAGGAGGAGGGTTGGAGGGCGAGGCTAGCAACCTACCCTCCATAAAACACTCGCTATGCTCATAGAACCCAAGCATTGCCTCGGAACAGGACGGATTCAATGTTGACGACACAAGCGAGGACAAGGAAAATGAGACGGAACAAACACAAAAAGCAAATAAGGCTGGGATATTGGAACGTAAGATCATTCAGTGGAAAGGACCAAGAAATTATACTAGAACTACAGCACCATAAAATAGACATATGTGCCATATCTGAAACAAAGAAGAAAGGAAATAGAACAGAACACGATGACTACAGTCTGATTTACTCAGGCAAATCAAAGGACACAAGAGCAGCTTCGGGAGTTGGAATGCTGATCGACCAAAAATTCGGGGACTCCATAACCGACATTAAGTACACAAACGACAGAATAATAAAAGTAACCCTGAAACTAGACAAACACACTCTTCATATATAGTGTCCGTTTACGCACCGGATACTGGAAAGCCTGTCCAGGAGACCATCGATTTCTACGAACAACTCCAACTGTTGATAGAAACAATACCCCAACATGAAGACATAATAATAATGGGCGACTTGAACGGAATAGTAGGAAATGAGGTAATACCTGAAGTCAAGAATAGATTTAATGAAGAGATAGTGAACGAGCGGGGTGAGAAGCTTGTTGAATTTTGCGCTTACCACGAACTAAGGATTAACAACACATACTTTAAACACAAACTCCAACACAAAGTCACGTTTCAGGGCAATGGAGGAGTAACGTCCACAATAGACTATATAATAACGAGTAAAGCCATTAAACCAGAGCAAATACAGGATGTTAGATCAGTAACATCGAATAACATCGGATCAGACCATAACTTAGTAATGGGAATAATCACCATGGCAAGACTGCCAGCTGATAGGAAGAAACCGGATAACCCAACAACAAAGTTCAACATCGAGTCACTAAAAACAGAAAGCACGCTGGATCTGTACAAACGGCCCATATTCCCATCCTCCAACAACACACCGTAGAACGCGCATGGGACATCCTACTAAACGACATAAACCAAGCAGCGGAGGAGGCACTAGGCAAAAGAACAGTTAACACAACGACAAAACACAGAAATAATAAACCATGGTTCAAACCAGAGGTGAAGATACTGGCCCAGGAAAAGAAAAAAGCCCACCTAACATACACAGCCAACAAGACTCCAAGAAACCACATCAAATACATCGAAACAAGGAAGGAAAGTGAACAACCGCATAGGGGAAATAAAGAGAGAGCATTGAGAGAACTTCAGTAGAGAAATGGAAGGTGACTTTTATGGAACCCAAAAACGCAGATGGAATTTGCTCAGAGCAACAGGGAGAGAAATGAATGAGACAGTACAATTAAACAACATCTCGGCAGCCGAATGGACCACCTACTTCCAGGGCCTGTACACAAACCGAGACGAAAAGGAACAACGAAGGCCCAAGAAGCGGGAGAGGCTGAACCGAGAGGAAGCCATAAACATCAAGGATGTAGAACAATACATGGTGGAGGAAGTGATATCCGAAATGAAGCATCTGAAAAACGGTAAATCTCCAGGCCCGGACAACGTCCCCAACGAACTGCTGAAGTGCGGAGGACAAGCTCTGGCAGGACAGCTAGCCGAACTATTCAACAAAATATATATACCAGCGAGATGGAGACCCAGCATCACAATCCCAATATTCAAAAAGGGGAAAACCTCAGATCCGGCGAACTACCGAGGAATATCGCTTCTAGAAATGACCATGAAATTGTTCACCCGTATGCTGCAGCAACGCATTCTCAGTTACACCATAATAAGCGAGGAGCAGCAGGGTTTTCGGAAAAATCGTTCGACGCTTGACGTAGTGTTCGTTGTCAGGCAGGTGGTTGAGGAGGCAATAGAGTATAACAAACAAGCATACCTATGCTTTATAGATTTGACGAAAGCGTTCTACAGGATAAGACTGGAGGATGTTAGGAACGAGCTGGACCGCAGGAGAATACACCCAAGCATCACGGAGGCGGTCAGAAAACTCAACACAAACATCACCACAACAATACCAACAAAATTAATAACAACAGAAAAAATAGAACAAAACACAGGGATACGACAGGGAGACAGTCTCAGTCCACTACTGTTCAACGGACAGAATAATAGAGCAAGTGCGCAAGATAGACCAGGGATACAAGATAGGAAACCAACAAATTGAAATAATATGTTACGCAGACGACGCAACGCTATTCGCGGACACGGAAGACGGGCTGCAATGGCTCTTACAGGCATTTGAGAAAGAGGCCGACAAGGTTAACATGGAAATATCTACCACCAAAACAAAAAGCATGATGATCGCCAGGGAACCACGCAGATGCAAACTAGAACTAAACAACAAAATAATAGACCAGGTTTTTGAATTCAACTATCTGGGAATTACAATATCACCAAACGGTGAACTCAAGAATGGCGTACGGAATCAGGTAAACAAGGCAGCCAGAATAGCAGAAGCCTTACGAACAACGATATGGAAAAATAAATGCATATCAACCCCGACCAAAGTTAGAATATATAAAGCATGTATCAGGCCCGTAATGACATACACGGCAGAAACACGAGCTGACACGAACCAATGAAATGAAAATACTAAGAATGATCACAGGGAACACACTTTTGGATCAAAGAAGGAGTAACAAAATCAGGGAAGAGTGCAAGACAGAGGACATTCTTAGATGGACACGCGCTAGGTGCTGCTTCTGAACGAGCACATATCTAGGATGGAAAGCCACAGACTGGCAAAAATCGCCAGAAATGGAAAACCAGCATCCAGGAGACCACCAGGACAACCTTCCAAGAGGTGGAAGGACAGCTGGTCGTCGGCATCCCAAGAGGGACAAATAAGTGGATGAAACAAGCCTTAAGGCTTCCGCAAAGAAGAAGAAGAAGATATTTAGGTTGCCAGGCCCAGTAGCCTTTCCGTTTTTCATATGAGTTAATGCATTTTGTACTTCCCTTGGTGATATTTCTGGGGTCCAGGAGTTTATCTTGTCGTTTTCAATTTAATCAGTTGGAAATTGTGCGGTCTATCTTCTGTTAGTGGTTTGCTCTCTGTAGTGGTTTGCTCATTTTTCAAGGTATATGAGGTTTATATCCGCTGAATCAGTGTTCTCCCTTTTCATGCTCTTTAGAAGTTTCCACGCTTTGGTCACATGGTTTTTCCCAGAAGTCGTTCTTTGCTCTTTTAATCTATGCTTGAGTGGACCTCCTTTTGTCGACGTATCTTTCTCGATCTTCGCGAGCCTTTGTTTCTAACAATTTCGTATATGCAGAAGAACAAACGAACAACTTCAAAAAGCGAGAAAGAAAGAAGCGAAGAAGAAGTTTTTCAAGCAATGGGAAACGATATACAAAAATCAATCAAAAATACAAACAACTCTCAACAAAACATGTGTTATGAAAAACAACGAAGCGATGTTAGAAAGAGCGTTATGGAAGAAGATAGAGGCCTGTAATGCGAACAACCAAAACTCGGTACCAACAGAACCGTGAAAACTTGGGCCCCAGTTTAATTTTAGATCTCAGAACTCTACGATCTGTGGTGAATCTGTTAATAATTTAAACATCTTTAATTACATATAACAAATCTAAAATCTTTATTAATTAAATTAATATTATCGGAAATTAAGTAAGCTACCTACCATATTTGATTAAACTACACATTCAATTAACAGCAAATTAAATTTCCACTTTGAAGCTCACGCAACCTGTTGCGAATAATTAATTATTATTGGAAACGATCAAACATTTGTGATAACTTTAATTCTTACTTCTCCTATAAAATAATTCCAGTTTCCAGTTTTTAATGGCCACTTATCGTAAAGCCTCTAAACCTCTATTCCAGCCTAAGCCATAAACCTAATCCGCCCTAAAATGACGGGCAATTATTGAATTAATGACTATTCGTATTAGGGACATTCACTAACTTAAATACTGCCTTCCCGTCATTATGGTGTATTATCCCTTCACTGTTACGTCTGGCATCTTAATGAACACGAGTTTCCTTGAGACAATATTGTTTACATTCAGGCTGAATTTGCTTGTATGATAAGACTTCCTCTTGCTTGAATTAGGTGCTTCAGGACTCTCATTAGTAGCAATTGAACTGAGTATTCAGAAAAAAAATATTGTCTTCAATTTATGTTATATAAGCAAATAATTTTTTCAAACATAAGGAATTGTATTGAAAATTAAAAAAACATCATCGCTAATATGGTACATGGTGATTAGAGTAACCTTTTTGAAATGAAATTTTCCCCTATTATTAGAGTCATGTGTGCCATAAAGTCGCTATAAAAGATAAAGAGGGTGCGTTCGAGGGGATAACGAATACCGCGTAATAGGCGACAGGATTCCAATGACCAAACAACAAACTTCTAATATCTCGCCCTTGAAATTTAGGGTTGGTAATAATAAAGCTATATTAATCGTTTCGTTTTTACAGCTCATAAAATTTTTCCTCGGATTTATTATAATGGAGGGCTTACTGGAAATCGTATAGGGCATTAGTAATATTATTACTTATAAAAACACCACTAGTTATTCAGAAATTTTTGGTAGGAGAACGAATTAAATAGGACTAACAGAACGCGAAATAATGGAAAATAGATTAAAGTCCTATTGACTATATGCGCAATACTGGTATTTACAAGTTTCCTTGACTCTCAAGACTGCGCACACTCCAGAGTAAACATCAGCAATGGCTGATAAAACCTTTCCTAATTTTAAAATATATTTTTCTCGTAGGTTAACAGAAATAGCAAGAATCGTTCTTTTTTTATAAGGTGAAGATGCCTAATGATAGCGACAGGGAATTTCGGGCCAATTTATTCAAGTTTTATTTTTCTCTTGAATATGAAATTATTATCTCAACATCTTGCCGTTCTACCTGTTTTCTTTGTTTGGAATCACAAAAGTTACTTAAAGTACATATTATATGAATAAATCTTGCCGGCTACTTAAAACTTCGAATTTCCTGCCCTCCAAAATCTGCAAAAATGCTTAATGCTTAATACTTATAAAGGAAAAAGGCCTTTCGACAAAAAAAAACTGTGTTCGACTGAATTGTCGATATTTTCTTTCACCTTTTAGCCATAAAAGAATCCAACTTGAAGACCTCAATTTACTTTGAAATAAAAATATAAGGGAAATTGATCGTAGTGGATCAAACATAATATTTTGATGTTCGACGATTTATTTAACTGTTCAGAGTGAGTCAACAATTTGAGCCTTAGTCCTAAGAAACGGATCCCTGAAACTCAACTTCACATTTTGTGATAAATACACGGCAGTTAAATCTTCTCGATGTTTTGGAAAAATCAAGCTTTTTCGCCACAACAAAAACGACATTTAAATTTAAATTAAAACTTAAAGCAAAATATTGTTAGCAATAAACAAAAATAATGGCTCCTGGAAACGCTTCCTCGATCTTGACAGTTCCAGCAACGAAATGATTTGCTGTATGGGAGAACTACAACGACGAATGGTTTCAGATAAAGCTTAATGAGAAAACTACTTGGAATAACGACTTTGGGATGCAAATAATGTATTATACATGTCGGATCTGTAGTAACGTATTATTTAATTCTTCCAAAATATGGTCGCATCTAAATTTGTCTTATAACACACATGTTTTTATTCGAAGAATGAATGTCTCTCCCAAAAATAATATATCTGATAAATGATCATGTCCACTCTTTTCTTGAATTCTCCATGACATGTTGACAAAACTGCTAGAAAGCTACAGTAATGTATTGAATATCTTTGAGAGAATTTTTAGATTGTTTTAAAAGTTTTTACATTGTTGTGCAGATCTTGGATTAACAAGATTCCCACTATCCCTACACAAATTGTTTCATTCCTAACTATCGTTTTTGAGCCTAACAAAGGATTTCGATTTGTCAATGTACACTTTATCCATGAGTCAAAAGCATGAAATAATTTCAAAAAAAGCTCAAATAAACATTCTTCACTATAAACTAAAATGAAGCTTCCAAATAACCAAATTTCACTGTGCATTTTATTTTGTGCTCCTGAAACTGCACATGCACGATTCATTTATTCCACAGGAATGGTCTAGACAGGAGTATCATGCAAGCTGATGCGATTCATAAAACTCGGAACGTTCGGAATCCACGATGCGGTGCGGTCTGGAATAGTTTGAGCATACCGAAACCTGAGAAACGAAAAGAGCAAGTTGGTGTTATATAAAATATTTATTCTATAAGCAAGAAAAATCAGCAAATATAAGCTAGCCAATTCCTAACGGTAAATGCAATTTAAATTAAATCAATATTTGAACTGCATTAATGCATAGGTAATTGCAAAATGTACTCTACCGATACTAGAGGATTTTCCACCAGATTCCATATGAAAGGGCGTATATTGAGTTTAATTTCCGAAGCTTAGTGTATTGGTAGTTTTAATTGCCAAAAAGCATATAATAACTTAGATGTAGATTACAAATCATCGATTACTTATATTCCTTAATGGAAATAACGCAATTATTAAATAATACCTAAATGCTCTCATAAATATTGGTTATGGAAAAAAAAGATGCAAAGTTGAAACATGTTGAAGTATTTAGTTTGAATAGATATTTTAACTACTTGTGAGGTTAGAGATCCATTGTACATAGTGATAATGGTCAAGAATTCGCCAACAAACTATTATTGAATTGGCTACTGGGAAGACATTAAAATTACAATCACTTGATAGATTGATGCTCCGAAATGACAGAAATGAGTAGAACGAAGGCTTACAATTCCTGCAATTGATGTAAATCCGGGCTTAGATGCAGTTTTTATTAAGCAATGTCCGATATATTATACAATAACTAGACTTGGCAAAAAATTACCTGCCTTTCACTGAAAGTAATGTTACGAAAAAAGAAATGGAAGAAATCATGAGAAGTGCCCATCAGGACTCTACAGTGACAATTTAGCCGCCAGAATTTACAGGGAAAGATTTCCTAATAGGACGGCACCTAATGAAAAAATATTTGTGACCGTTTTGCAAACATTATTGCGTGATACGGAAAGTGTGAGTGACAAATGACACCGGCCGATGAAAAGCAGATGTTAGCAATAGTGGAAGATATCCCTGATGAAATAGGCACTCGATCCATTGCCCGGCAACTTAGATATTCCCAGTCAACAATTTATCGGACCATCCGACAAAATTTGCTTTACCCGTATCATGTAAAGCGTGTAGGTACAGGCATTCTCTGCTGCAGATTTTACAGGCACAGTTCGTTTTTGTGAATGGTTTCTGCAATAAATTCAAAGATATCCAAATTTTGTACAATCTATTCTATCTACTATGTTATAAGTGTTGCTTTACAAAAGATAGAATTTTAAATTATCACAACACTCACACTGGTCGCCCCCTTGAGAAACAGAAAAATCAAGCATCAGGCAAACACAGCTGAAGAAAAAGTATTGCTATATGCTGCAAACTTTTGCAGTGAAGTCGACGGCAAATTGAGTTTTGTATTGGTCCCAGGTGCGAGTAATCAGTTTGTGCAGGAAAGGCTAGAAGCCAAAATGTTTGACATCCAGGTGCTACCAAACTATGTATAAATACATATAGCAAATAAAGAAATTCTCAAATCCAATAATCCGCCTCAAAACTGACTTCAAAAGGACATAAGATTATTATGGAAGCCATTAACAGTGGACATATTAATTAAACCTTTTGTTTACCAGTGCCATATTTCAGTAGATAAGGACTTATGGCATGGAAGATTCGGTCATGCAGGTCATGACGCACTCATGCAGCTAGGTTTATCAAGATGCGATAAATATGCAGCAGTTGTATGGAAGGAAAGACAACAAGGTGTCCAGTTGATGAGAATAAGAGGACCTCGACTGCTATGGGAGATCTGGTACATAGTGATGTTTGCGGATCAATCAATCCAGCCACTATAGATGGTGGTAAGTACTTCCAAACTATATTAGATGATTTTTCACATTTTTCAGTGATAAAAATAATAAAAACTAAAGATGAGGCTAGCATCAATCTCATTTAATACGTAAAAGACCTTGAAACACAGCACCAGGTAAAGGTCAAAGCATTTAGACTAGATAATGGAGAAGAATTTGTATCGAGTAGTTTAAAAAAAAAATGTAAGAAAAATGGTATGAATTTGGAGTGGGTATACCATGCCATATACCCCTAAGAGAATGGAAAAGCTGAAAGAATGAATAGAACTCTATTGGAAAAAATAAGAATCAAGATAACAGATTCAGGCATTCCAAAAACACTATGGGATGAGGCTCTATAATATTCTGTGTATGAAATGAATAGAATTCCAACTAGAGCTTCACCTGGGAAAGTAACACCCTCGACAATTTGGCATATACAAAATGATCTGAGTAAGCTCAGAATTTTTGGGTGTCGAGCCTGGTTAACAATTCTACCCAAAGGTAATAAGTTAGATGCTAAGGCAAAGCAGGCTGTTATATTAACCAGAGGCTCTTGTTTTAAAGACTTTTATTTAGGCCCAAATTATGGACTGACTGGTAAACGTCTGGTTGTTACCTAGCAGGTACTTCCTATGTACTAGAGAATAGAAAGTACCTGCTAGGTACCAACCAGACACTTACCAGTTGATCCATAATTTGGTCCTTAATACGATTACAAAAGGTTTATTCTAATAAACTAAAAAGTGCTCTAACAGCTGACGAACAACAACAACTAAACTTCGATGACACTCATGACAGACAGGATGTCGAAAAGTCATACATAAATTTGGGCTACGTTCGCGGAAATTTCGATGTTCGCATTTATGAATTGTAATATTAACACACTACTTATTGAAATTAAAAATCAACACAAAACAAAATTTCTGAATACTTAACTTAAAATAAACTACTCATTTAGCAAACACTAATATTTAATTTATTTCTAAAATATTTAAACTTTGCACTACTCAGAGATTTAGTAAACAAATCTGCTACTTGCTCATTTGTTTGCAAATATTTTAGAGATATTTCGTTTTTGAAAATACTGTCTCTAATAAAATGATGCTTGACGTCGATGTGTTTACTTCTCTTCGTTTCAAGCGTAGATGCCATTTTTATTGTTGACTGGTTGTCCCCATAGATTGTGATTGGACAGATACTACAATTGAACATTTCTTTCAAAAGTTGTTCCACGAATAAAACTTCAGTCAAACAGTTTGACAAAGCAACGTACTCGGCCTCTGAGCTTGAAATTGAGACTGTGTTTTGCTTTTTAGTTTTCCAAAAAGTTATGTTACCGTAAAATGGGGTGAATAGATTCGCTGTGGTGAATAGGATCAAAAAGAGGGAGTTTATCAGTTTAGTTTCCGAAACCTTAATATCGTAATGAATGCTTTCTATTTGAGTTTGATTGGTTGCCTAACTCTATATCTCATAAAGGTTACCAATATTTTATCATTCAGCAGTTGGTAGCACTGTAAACCAGGCCTTAATTAGAAGTACTGTCAGTCATCTGTTTTCATTTTCGCCAAAACTTTGTCTGTAAATACGAATTTGAGAAGCATATATTGAGAGTAGTTGGCCTAATTAACTCCAACAGGTTAGTAACTAAGGCACACAAAATTATTTTAGTTTATTCGTAAGCAAAAACAAAATTGAAAAATATTTTCTATTTCGTTGCACGATTTTCAGGTTATCGAGGTGAATAGGATCAAGAGCTGGGGTCAATAGGATTAAGGGCTGGGGTCAATAGGATCAAGGGCTGGGGTCAATAGGATCAAAATGCCTAGAGAATATAAACCCAAAGCAGGACAAAAACTTTACAAGAAACCTGATCCAAACATCACCTGTGAAATGTTTGATAATGTGCTTGTTCTTGGAGATTATAATCTTTCCCAAATAACGTGGTCCACTAGTGGGGATCTCTCGGGTTTATTACCTGGAAATGTAAGGTCAACTAAGGAAATATTGTTATGCGATAGTACTGCTTCTCTTAATCTGTCTCAATACAATGGGGTGGCTAACGATCATGGTTCAATCCTGGATCTATGTTTTGCCAACTTTGGGCCTATTTCACTTGTAACATCTGACGGTCTGGTGGGATGTGATCGTTATCACCCAGCTCTAGAGTTTTCCATACCTGTTGTTAAAGCTAAATTTCTGAAGCCTCTTAATTATTTTTCTTATGACTTTAAAAATGCCAATTTTGATTTAGTTAATGAATATTTTCTTTCCTTTGATTGGCGATCCATTTATGATGGACGATCTAAACGAAACTGTTAAGAGCTTTTACTTGGTACTGTTCGACTGCTTTAATATGTTTGTTCCAATAAAGGCACATTCTTACAGCGAGAAATTTCCTATCTGGTTCTCTAACGAATTGAAAAATCTGATTTTTCAAAAGAAAATTGCTCACAAACGATTCAAGCGGTCGAATAGAGGTTTGGATTACTTTGCATTTAGTACACTTCGGCGAGATTGTAAAAACCTGACCAAAGAGTGCTATAAATTATACATAAGTGATACTGAAAGAGCCATA